CGCCCAGTGTTAAATCTTCACACTCCTTAGAAGGCCCTCGAAACTCGGAGAGACATCGTAGCTCAGGGGTTAGACCCCTCGCCCCGCACCCCCCCACAGCCCCTGTAGCTCAGGGGTTAGACCCCTCGCCTCGCACCCCACAGCCCCTGTAGCTCAGGGGTTAGACCCCTCCCCTTGCACCCCACAGCCCCTGTAGCTCAGGGGTTAGACCCCTCGCCCCCCCAGCCCCTGTAGCTCAGGGGTTAGACCCCTCCCTCGCACCCCACAGCCCTGTAGCTCAGGGGTTAGACCCCTCCCTCACACCCCACAGCCCCTGTAGCTCAGGGGTTAGACCCCTCCCCTCACACCCCACAGCCCCTGTAGCTCAGGGGTTAGACCCCTCGATTCCCGGGCGGGTCAGGTCAGGGTGAAACCTCATGCAACTCCCACCCCACACAGTGCCTGTTTCCCGCAGTCAGTAGGAACCTGGTTGTCAGTCGATAGGATCACTTTTCGGGGGTAATAAACCCTTCAAAAATAAATCAATCCGTTCACTACTGTTTGTGGGGACGTCGCTGGACACAATTGACTGCCGTGTTTTGCCCAAAAAATAGTCACTACACTTTACAGTGTATCCTGTGAAGCGCTTTGAGACGTCTCGACGATGTGATCAGACGCCGGGGAAAATACCAGGATTATTATTATGATTATATTTACCTTCTCGAGACGACAGCTGCTGTAAACATCCAGGTCGAAGAATCCTGGGATCAACAGCAGGTTCGCAACTTTATTTGCGTCCACGGAATACTATAGGAGCGAGGAACAAGGTGTCAGCCCGGCTCAGAGAGTGTGTGTGTGTGTGAGCCCGGCTCAGAGAGTGTGTGTGTGAGCCCGGCTCAGAGAGTGTGTGTGTGTGTGTGAGCCCGGCTCAGAGAGAGTGTGTGTGAGCCCGGCTCAGAGTGTGTGTGTGCGTGAGCCCGGCTCAGAGTGTGTGTGTGTGTGAGCCCGGCTCAGAGTGTGTGTGTGTGTGAGCCCGGCTCAGAGTGTGTGTGTGTGTGAGCCCGGCTCAGAGTGTGTGTGTGTGAGCCCTGCTCAGAGTGTGTGTGTGTGTGTGTGTGTGAGCCCGGCTCAGAGTGTGTGTGTGCGTGAGCCCGGCTCAGAGTGTGTGTGTGCGTGAGCCCGGCTCAGAGTGTGTGTGTGTGTGTGTGTGTGAGCCCGGCTCAGAGTGTGTGTGTGTGTGAGCCCGGCTCAGAGAGAGTGTGTGTGTGTGAGCCCGGCTCAGAGAGCGCGTGTGTGTGTGTGAGTCCGGCTCAGAGTGTGTGTGTGTGTGAGCCCGGCTCAGAGAGAGTGTGTGTGAGCCCGGCTCAGAGTGTGTGTGTGTGTGTGAGCCCGGCTCAGAGAGTGTGTGTGTGTGTGTGTGTGTGTGAGCCCGGCTCAGAGTGTGTGTGTGTGTGAGCCCGGCTCAGAGTGTGTGTGTGTGAGCCCGGCTCAGAGAGCGCGTGTGTGTGTGTGAGTCCGGCTCAGAGTGTGTGTGTGTGTGAGCCCGGCTCAGAGTGTGTGTGTGTGAGCCCGGCTCAGAGAGCGCGTGTGTGTGTGTGAGTCCGGCTCAGAGTGTGTGTGTGTGTGAGCCCGGCTCAGAGTGTGTGTGTGTGAGCCCGGCTCAGAGAGCGATGATGAGGAGGGAGATGATGAGGAAGGTGCTGACCTTGGCGAGCAGTTGAGGAAGAACCACAATCAGATGTTCTGACAGCTTCATCCTGTCCTCCACCTGCAGCTTCTTGTCCCTCGCCGTCAGCAACTGTAACACACACAGTGTGACCCCCACACACACAGTGTGACCCCCACACACACAGTGTGACTCCCACACAGTGTGACACACACACAGTGTGACACACACACTCACACTGTGACATATACAGTGTGTGACTGTGTGGGTTGGGGGTGTGTGTATGTAATGGGTATGTGTAGTGGTGAGGGGCGGTGTGTGTGAGGGGCGGTGTGTGAGAGGGGCGGTGTGTGAGGGGCGGTGTGTGAGAGGGGCGGTGTGTGAGAGGGGCGGTGTGTGTGAGGGGCGGTGTGTGCAGGGCGGTGTGTGAGGGGCGGTGTGTGAGGGGGCGGTGTGTGCAGGGCGGTGTGTGAGGGGCGGTGTGTGCAGGGCGGTGTGTGAGGGGCGGTGTGTGAGAGGGGCGGTGTGTGTGAGGGGCGGTGTGTGAGGGGCGGTGTGAGAGGGGATGCGCGGGGAGAGATGTGTGAGGGGGTGTATGGGGTGGGGTTGTGTATGAGAAGGTACAGGGGTCTGAGGGGACCATTACCCTTTTCCCTGAGGTCCTGCCGATGGGGGGATGAATCTCCACAGCCTGTCGCATGGAGCAAACCATCAGCTGTATCACAGCGTCTTCCTCCTGATCAGTGAGCCCTGTACACACACACAGTCACTACACCTCCCCACACAGTCACTGCACCTCCTCACACAGTCACTGCACCTCCCCACAGTCACTGCACCTCCCCACACAGTCACTGCACCTCCCCACACAGTCACTGCACCTCCCCACACAGTCACTGCACCTCCCCACACAGTCACTGCACCTCCCCAGTCACAACACCTCCCCAGTCACAACACCTCCCCACACAGTCACTGCACTTCCCCACACAGTCACTGCACCTCCTCAGTCACTACACCCTCCTTACACTACCCGCACACAGTGTCCTCCTCCTGGTCACTGAGCCCTGTGTGAGCACATTTACAGTCACTACACACTCCTTACACTACCCCCCCCAACACAGACAGACGTCTCACCCTCCTGGTCTCCTGTTGTCTCCTCCAGTAGCAGCTCAGTCATACTCTCCCAGTCCTTCAGCACTGACCCGGCACAGTCCCACACACTGTCCACCAGGTACGCACAGTGTTCATGTAACTAGAGACACACAGAGAGAGACACAGAGTGTGTGAGACAGAGAGAGACAGAGTGTGTGAGACACAGAGAGAGAGACAGAGTGTGTGAGTGTGAGACACACAGAGAGAGACACAGAGTGTGTGAGACAGAGAGAGACACAGTGTGTGTGAATGTGAGACACACAGAGAGAGACACAGAGTGTGTGAGTGTGAGACACAGAGAAAGACAGAGTGTGTGAGTGTGAGACACACAGAGAGAGACACAGTGTGTGTGTGTGAGACACACGGAGAGAGACACAGAGTGTGTGAGTGTGAGACACACAGAGAGAGACACAGAGTGTGTGAGACAGAGAGAGACAGAGTGTGTGAGACACAGAGAGAGAGACAGAGTGTGTGAGTGTGAGACACAGAAAGAGAGACACACAGAGTGTGTGAGGCAGAGAGACAGAGTATGTGAGTCAAAGAGAGACAGAGTGTGCGAGTCAGAGAGAGAGACAGTGTGTGAGACAGAGAGAGACAGAGTGTGCGAGTCAGAGAGAGACAGTGTGTGAGACAGAGACAGAGTATGCGAGTCAAAGTGAGACAGAGTGTGCGAGTCAGAGAGAGAGAGACAGAGTGTGTGAGACAGAGAAACAGTGTGTGTCAGAGAGAGACAGAGTGTGTGAGTGTGAGACACAGAGAGAGAGTGACAGTGTGTGAGTCAGAGAGAGACAGCGTGTGAGTCAGAGAGAGACAGAGTGTGTCAGAGAGTGTGTGAGTGTGAGACACAGAGAGAGAGAGAGACAGAGAGTGTGAGTCAAGAGAGACAGAGTGTGTGTCAGAGAGAGTGCGTGAGTCAGAGAGAGACAGAGTGTGTGTGTCAGTGTATGAATGTGAGACACAGAGAGAGACAAAGTGTGTGAGACGAGAGTGTGTGAGTCAGAGAGACAGAGTGTGTGTCAGAGAGTGAGACACAGAGAGAGAGTGTGTGTGAGACAGAGAGACAGAATGTGTGTCAGAAAGTGTGTGAGTGTGAGACAGAGAGAGAGAAACAGAGTGTGTGTCAGAAAGTGTGTGAGTGTGAGACACACAGAGAGAGAGACAATGTGTGAGTGTGAGACAGAGTGTGAGTGTGTGACACAGAGAGAGACAGACACAGACACAGAGAGAGAGGGAGGCAGACAGACATAAGAGAGAGAGAGTGCACATTCCACTCGACACGGGGAGTGTGATACGGGCAAAGAGTGAGCACAAGGAGATCACTATTCTGGAGCGTTGGGTGTGCCTCACACCCAGTGCTCTTACCCCCTCACCCTCCCCACACTCCCTCCCCCCCCCTCAAACATACCCTCCCCTCACACACCTTCCCCAGCCTCACAACCCCTCACCTCTCACACACCCGCTCCCCACCCCCACACACCTTCCCCCCTCGCACACCCCCTCCCCACCCTCACACACCTTCCCCAGCCTCACAACCCCTCCCCTCTCACACACCCGCTCCCCACCCCCACACACCTTCCCCCCTCACACACCTCCTCCCACCCTCGCACACCCTCCCCACCCTCACACACCCCCTCCCACTCTCACCACCGCCCCACTCACCTCACTCTCCAGGAAGAAAGCTACAAGAACCTTCACAAACACCCGGTTGAAGTTGTTTCGTCCGCGATCCTTGACCCCCAACTCACTCTGCTCCTCCTCACAGAGAGCCTTCAGCCTGGGAGAGAGGGAGAGGAGGAGGGTGAGAGAGGGAGAGGAGGAGGGTGAGAGAGGGAGAGAGTGCACGAAAGAGAGAGTGTGTGTGAGAGAGCGTGAGAGAGAGCGAGAGCGTGAACGAGAGTGTGAAAGAGAGTGCGTGAGTGAGAGCGTGAGTGTGAGAGAGCGCGCGTGTGTGAGATAACGCGTGAGAGTGAGCGCGTGAGAGAGCGCGTGTGAGTGAGCGCGTATGAGAGTGAGAGCGTGAGAGAGTGCGTGTGAGTGAGTGTGAGGGAGCGCGTATGAGAGTGAGAGCGGGAGAGCGCGTGTGAGAGAGTGCGTGAGAGAGTGAGTGTGAGTGTGAGAGTGCGCGTGAGAGTGTGAGCGCGTAAGAGTGAGAGTGTGAGCGTGAGAGAGTGCGTGAGAGTGAGTGAGTGTGAGAGAGTGAGTGTGAGAGTGTGAGAGTGTGTGAGCGAGTGAGATCACGAGGTTCTCGATAGTTCGGTGGAAAACCAGGGTTCGGGGATAGTTTAGGAAAGAATGGAAGAGGGTTTCCCGTAATCGAGGAAGCGGAACAGTCGGGGAATCCGGACCCCTCACCCTGTGGCTGAATCAGCTTTACTTTGTAATAAACCAATTCTCTACGTATCGAGTTCAGCGTCGAACGTGTTAAGTCATTCGGAGAGAAGGGACTGAGGTTCATGAGAGAGAGAGAGAGAGAGAGAGACAGAGACTCACTTGATGTACAGGAAATTGCCGGCAGCAGTTGCTGTTCCTCGATGAGCTGCATAAACCAGCGGGTAAACACACTCACAGTCCTCGGCTCGCAGTACATCCTCCACATTCCTACACACACCAGGCACAGTGAGAGGGAGAGAGACACACAGTGAGAGAGAGACAGAGAGAGAGACACACAGAGAGAGAGACACACAGTGAGAGAGAGACACAGAGAGACACACAGTGAGAGACACACACACACACACAGAGGACACACAAAGTGAGAGAGAGAGAGAGACACAAAGTGAAAGAGAGAGAGAGACACACACACAGTGAGAGAGACAACAGAGATAGAGAGACACAAAGTGAGAGAGAGAGAGAGACACAGAGAGACACACAGAGAGAGGGACGGAGAAACAAGGAGACAGAGAGAGAGACACAGAGACAAACAGAGACTGGAGATGGGGGTGAGGGTGGGGGTGAGGGTGCGGATGTGGGTGAGGGTGGGGGTGCGGGTGAGGGTTGACTTACTGTAAGAGCAACGTCAGGAGCTGAACAGCTTCAAGAGCCACATCGTAATTCACATCCAGCACCATCGATACCATCCTGTCCTGTAACACACGCCCTCCTCGTGTCAGTCACACACGCCCTCCTCGTGTCAGTCACACACGCCCCCTCGTGTCAGTCACACACGCCCCCCTCGTGTCAGTCACACACGCCCCCCTCGTGTCAGTCACACACGCCCTCCTCGTGTCAGTCACACACACACACTGTGTCAGTCACACACACCCTCCTCGTGTCAGTGACACACGGGAGGGGGAGACAGACAGACGTTACCCTGAAGCGGTTGGTGAACAGTTCCAGTTTCTGTGCTGTCTCCTTGTCGGAGTAAAGTCCCTGCAACGTCTTCAGGCACTTCAGACGCACCTCAGCCTCCTGTGAGTGAGAGAGAGAGACAGAGTGTGAGACAGAGAGACAGGGGGAGAGGGAGTGAGGTAGAGAGAGAGAGACAGAGAGACAACAGCGTCCCTCATGCAGTGTCATAGAGCGCTCGATAGTGACGGGAGCCAGTGGGGGCTGGCGGGGGCTGGGGGGAATGGGTTTAGTGGGGGTGATGGGGAGCCAGTGGGGCTGGCAAGGGCTGGGGTGATGGGTACAGGGTTTAGTGTGTGTGATAGGGAGCCAGTGGGGGCTGGCGAGGGCTGAGGGGATGGGGTTTAGTGGGGGTGATGGGGAGCCAGTGGGCCTGGCGAGGGCTGGGGGGATGGGGGGACGGGGTTTAGTGGGGGTGATGGGGAGCCGGTGTGAGAGCTCCCCCCCACCACACACACACACCTTGTCGTGTAACATCCAGCCGACATATTTCAGATAACTGTCGTTCAGGAAGGAGTCGTTGTAACGTTTCATCCAAACCCCAATCTCCTCCATACACACAGCACGAATCTCAGCAACATAGTCTCTGTGTGTGAGAGAGAGAGTGTGAGAGAGAGTGTGAGAGAGAGTGAGAGTGAGAGAGTGAGAGTGAGAGAGAGTGAGAGAGAGTGAGAGAGAGTGGGAGAGAGAGTGAGTGGGAGAGTGAGAGTGAGAGAGAGAGTGGGAGAGAGTGAGAGTGGGAGAGTGAGAGAGAGTGAGAGTGGGAGAGTGAGAGAGAGTGAGAGTGGGAGAGTGAGAGAGAGTGAGAGTGAGAGAGAGTGAGAGTGGGAGAGTGAGAGAGAGAGAGCGTGAAAAAGAAAGACAAAGAAAGCCCGGATCTCAGTCACATCGTCCCCGTGTGAAAGAGAGTGAGAGAGAGGGCAAGAGAGAGAGAGAGAGACACAGACTGATAGAGAAAGTGAGACAGTGTGAGAGAGAGAGAGAGACACAATTACAGAGAGAGAGAGAGGGTCACTATATGATAATAACCTTTGCATTTGATAAAACAGTGACCCACAAACAGCCGCCGGGGGTCGAAGCGCCCGAATTATTATTGTTTTGAAGGGATTATTACCCCCGGAAAGTGATCCCCCAATCGCCTGACAAGCGACTGACTGCCGGGGACACAGGCGCGTGGGGGGGGTGTGTGTGTGTGTGTGTGTGTTCGTGTGTCTCTCTGTGTCCGTGTGTGTGTGTGTGTGTGTGGAAATAAGGAAACCGCCTAAGGTTTCGCCCTGTCCTGACCCGCCCGGGAATCGAACCCGGGCCCTCTCGCTTGCGAGGCGAGGGGTCTAACCCCTGAGCTACAGGACGGTGTGGGTGTGTGTGGGTGTGGGTGTGTGTGTGGGTGTGTGTGCGCGTCTCACCGATATCTGTGCACGAAGACTCCCTTAAAGATGGCGTTCATCATGTTCTCCAGCTCTTCCTGGTTCTGCTGTAGCTGTTGAAGGACAGACAAAGGGTTAAATATGTGACTTGTTTTACTATATTATTATTATTATTATTATTATTATTATTATTATCGGTCCCCAAACCACACCACACAGTCACTACACTTCACGGTACATCCTGTGAAGCACTTTGTGACGTCTCCAGGTCGCGATCAGCTGCCGTGTTAAACGTGAGAAATTATTATTGTTGTTATTATTAATAAACCCCAACACTGTGGGAATCTTCCAACCGACGCCCCCCCCCACTCCCCGCAATTTCTCCTCTTCCCTCGTTCTGCCTCCCTCCCCCCTTTCACTCTCTCTCTCTCTCTCCCTCCCTCCCACAACTCTCTCTCTCTCTCCCCCCCCCAAACTCTCTCTCTCCCCCTCCAATTCTCTCTCTCTCTCTCCCCCCCCCAACTCTCTCTCTCTCTCCCCCCCAACTTTCTCTCTCCCCCACAACTCTCTCTCTCCCCCCCACTCTCTCTCTCCCCACCCCCAACTCTCTCTCCTTCTCCCCCCCAACTCTCTCTCCTTCTCCCCCCCAACTCTCTCTCCCTCCCACCAACTCTCTTTCCCTCCCCCACCTCTCCTCTATCACCCCACCGCCCTCTCCCCCCCCCACCCCCGACCCTGTTACCTGGCTGCGTTGCTGGAGGAGGGTCTCCAGCCTGTCGGCTGCTCTCTTGCCGGGGGGTTTGTTTCTCTCGCTCTCATATTGTCGCTGCTGATTGTCCTGGTGAACAGTCACAGTGAGAGCCACGTCCACCAGCCCTGACATCAGCTTCAGCGCTGGGGGGGGGGGAGAGAGGGGAGAGAGAGAGAGGGTGGTGAGAGGGGTGTGGAGAGAGAGGGGGAAATGGAGAGAGTGTGTGGGGGGGAGAGAGAGAGGGGGGGAGAGGGAGAGTGGGGGGGGGGAGAGAGAATGGTGTGGGGGGGAGAGTGGTGTGAGGGGGAGAGAGGGTGGGAGAGAGAGTGGTGGAGGGGAGAGAGAGAGTGGAGGGGGGGAGAGAGAATGGTGTGGGGGGGAGAGAGGGAGACAGTGGTGTGGGGGGGAGAGGGGTGGGAGAGAGAGTGGTGGAGGGGGGGAGAGAGAGAGGGCGGGGAGGGGGGGAGAGAGAGTGGTGTTGGGGGGAGAGAGAGAGAGTGGTGGAGGGGGGAGAGAGGGAGAGAGAGGCAAAGTAAGTATGTGTGCATGTGAGAGAGACCAGTCAGCACCCCACCACCCCCACACGCACTCCCGACACGCACACACACACTCCCCTGACACGCACACACACACTCCCCACGGTGGCTCACCTATCAGGGTGCTGGTGTGTCTGAAGGCTCTGACCTGTGAGTCGGACAGGCCGGTGAGCAGGGAGATCAGGGAGTCCATCATGTACTCGTCATACAACACGTTATACTGACACCCTCTCACCAGCACCCGCACAAACTCACTGAGCGTCACCCCGAACTTCCTCCACGCCGGGCCCGGCGTGGACAGGGGGTAATAGCCACTGTCCTGGGGGCAGAGAGAGAGAGAGAGGGAGCGTGAGAGCGAGAGGGAGGGAGTGCGAGAGAGAGAGGGAGTGTGAGAGAGAGGGGGAGGGAGTGCGAGAGAGAGAGAGAGAGGGAGTGTGAGAGCGAGAGGGAGGGAGTGCGAGAGAGAGAGGGAGTGTGAGAGAGAGAGAGGGAGGGAGTGCGAGAGAGAGAGAGAGGGAGTGTGAGAGAGAGAGGGAGGGAGTGCGAGAGAGAGAGTGTGAGAGAAAGAGAGAGGGAGGGAGTGCGAGAGAGAGAGACAGAGAGGGTGTGAGAGAGAGTGTGTGAGAGGGAGAGTGCGAAAGAGAGAGAGAGGGAGTGAGAGAGAGTGTGTGAGAGAGTGTGTGAGAGAGAGGGAGAGTGAGTGTGTGAGTGAGGGCGAGGGAGTGTGTGAGAGAGTGTGTGAGAGGGAGAGTGCGAAAGAGAGAGAGGGAGTGAGAGAGAGAGTGTGTGAGAGAGTGTGTGAGAGGGAGAGAGTGAGTGTGAGAGAGGGGGAGAGAGTGAGTGTGTAAGTGAGAGAGAGTGTGTGTGAGGGAGAGTGTGAGTGAGAGAGGGAGTATGTGGAGTGAGAGAGAGGGAGAGTGTGTGAGAGAGTGTGTGAGAGAGAGGGAGTGTGTGAGTGAGAGAGTGAGCGAGAGTGTGTGTGAGAGACAGTGAGTGAGAGAGAGGGAGTGTGTGAGTGAGAGAGAGGGAGTGTGTGAGTGAGAGAGTGAGTGAGAGTGTGTGTGAGAGACAGTGAGTGAGAGAGAGGGAGTGTGTGTGAGAGAGTGTGAGTGAGAGAGGGAGTGAGTGTGTGAGAGTGTGAGAGAGAGGGAGGGAGTGAGTGTGTGAGAGGGTGAGAGAGAGGGAGGGAGTGAGTGTGTGTGAGAGAGTGTGAGTGAGAGGGAGCGAGTGAGTGTGTGTGAGAGAGAGGGAGAGAGTGTGTGTGAGAGTGTATGAGCGAGGGAGAGAGTGAGTGTGTGAGAGAGAATGTACTCCTTTGAAGTGGGGCTCGGACCCCCCGGAGGAGATTGAGGGTAAATCCCGTCACCTCATCAAACTCCTCGGTCAGTTTGCGGATAATCTCCGTGTTCTGCAGCTTCTGGAGCATCGCTGGTGAGATCACACCTACAGCCAACAACAGGCGTCAGGCACACACTCACACTCACCCGCACACTCACACTCACCCCTCATACACTCGCAACTCACCCCTCACACCCTCCCACTCACCCCACACTCGCACACTCACTTGCGCATTCACCCCTCATACACTCACCCCGCACAAACTCGCACACTCACTCTCGCCACACTCTTCACACTCACTCTCACCCTCGTGCACTCACCCTCCACAATCGCACTCACCACTCCCACTCACCCCACACTCACACTCTCGCACACTCACCTCAGACTCGCACACTTACTCTTGCAAACTCACACTCTCACACACTCACTCTCACCCCTCACACATTCACATTCTGTTAGCGTTCATTGCAAAGGGTTTATAGTACAAGAGAGGGAAGTCTCACTGCAACTGTATAGGGCTTTGGTGAGACCGCACCGAGAGATGTGTGCAGTTTGTGGTCCTTATTTAAAAAAGGACTACTTGCCCTCGAGGGGGTGCAGCGTAGATTCACTCGGTTAGTGCCTGGGATGAGGGGACTGACCTATGAGGAGAGGCTGAATAAACGAGGACTGCATTCTCCAGAGTACAGAAAGAATTAGGAGGATCTTATTGAGACATATAAGATCCTTAAAGGGCTGATAAAGTAGTCACTGAGGTCTGTTCCCCCAATAGGAGAATCTATAACCGGGGACACAGCCTGAAAATATGAGGGTCAGCCTTTG